TTGAGGTTTAACCTGTTCCTGTACTGTGGTATCTTCCTCACATTCGATTGGAGTCACGCTTTTATCCTCAGAGGATATTTCGATGACCTCTGGTTCTTTTTCTGTTCGGTGACCTTTCAATTGTTCGAGTGCCTTGTTGCGGATTTCGCTTGTAAACATCTGTTCCTCTTCAGTTATTCGTTTCAAAACCCGTAACCTTTCACTCTTTTTATCCTTCCCCACTTTAGCCGTCTTTATTCCCAGTGCCTCTGGTACTGGGATAGGCCTTGCCCAATCCATGCCTGGCATGAGCGATTGTTTCGCTGCAGCTGTCGCTTCTTTCTGTGTGGCAGCTATCTCTTCAAGTGTTGGTGACCTTTCGTCATTGATAGCAGAGTGTGGTTCGAAAAAGGGTTCCTTTTGAGAATCACGTTCTGTTACTTCTTCTTTGGCTTCATCTGGTGACCTTTCCTTTCCCAGTGCCTCTGGTACTGGGATAACTTTTTCAACTTTTCCATTTTCATTTTTCGTTTCCAGTGCCTCTGGTACTGGGATAATTTGTTCCTGCTGCACTTTTGTCATTCCCGGTGCCTCTGGTACTGGGATGACCTTTTCTCTTCCCTTTTGTGTCAGCATTGTCCGGTTTAGTGTGTTTTCAATCTCCTGTTGAATCATTTGCAACTGCTCAAATGGTGACAATTCTTTTTGCGTCATCTTTTTCTTTTCGTTTCCCGGTGCCTTTGGTACTGGGATTAGCGTTTTATTAACTATTTGAGCATTTTCCGTCTGTTTTATGAGTTCGCTGACCTTTCCGACTTGAACTTTGGCGACTGGTTTTGGGTCATCTTCCTTTTCTTCTTCCCCTTCATTATCCATCAGTACAAATTTCTTTTCCAAAAAGTCAAATCCCAATAACACCTGTACGTCATCACACTTCGGTCGGACGTAGAAAGAATGCTCGCTAGTTTTCTTTCGTAAGGTCACTGGTGCTACACAATAGTGCGTCACCATGAATCCTGACGTTCCACTGATTCCATTTATTCTCACCAGTCTGTCTGGTGGTAGTGGTAGCATATGAAGTCCATTCTTCTCGCAAAATGGTTTGCTGATCAGCGACGTCTCAGCGCCGGTGTCCAACATTGCGTTGACCTTTATGTCTCCCACTTTCACTTCGTGTGTGTAAGCTTCAATTCTTTTAGGCAATTTTCCGTTTTGGATCTTCAATGTGTGAATCTTACATTTCACAGGAATGAGCGATACTGGTCCCGGGTCCATATCGGAAAGCACTTGTCCTTTTGCTGGAGTGCTATGACCTTTCAGTATTTCGCTCAGCTTATCAATCCTGTGTGGAACGTTAGTCCGAACATCGTAATATTTTCGCGGCTTTTCTTTATTTGTTCGCTTCTCTGTAGCCATTTTACCACCGGTGACCTTTTCAAATTCCTGCACTTGCTCATTTGCTTTTGTGCTATCCGCGTGACCTTTAATCACTTTATTTATCGTCTGATGGATCAGTTCCTCTTTACGGTTTTCGTTTCGTTCATCTCTCAGCTTCTCAATGACTTCACTTGTTATTTGGTCCGCTCGCTTCAATTCGTCTTCTTCGCTATCTTTCATCTCATCTGGTGACCTTTCATATGTAATCATATCATATCCTTTTTCGGTCATCCATTCGATCACCTTCGCGGACACTTCATTGTTCGTTTTCGTTGGATCAATTTGCGAAGACATTCCGTCTGTTCGGGCTGGTGACTTGTCGTTACCATCCTTCTGTAGTGCTTGCGATAAGTCCCGTGACCTTTCGGCTGCGCTACTCTGTTGCGTTTGCGCCATCTCGTTTGATCGTCCTTTTTGTTCGATTGCGCTAAGTCCTGTGACCTTTCGTTGCGCTTCATGACAAATCCGCCGCCTGTCAACTTTTGTATGGGGACTTTTTCTCCATAATTCAGCGGTTTGTCCTCTGGCGGTGCATTTCGTTGATAATTCGCGTCGGCGAATGTCTTCTTATATCCAGTTGGATCAAATGCTGGGACTGGGTTCGGTGACCTTTGCGCTGGTTTCCCGGTAACCAACTCTTCTAATCGCTTTCTTTCGCATTGCGTTCGCAACTGTTGCATGTCCCAGTAATCCTCTTGCGACATTCTCGTTTTCTGCTTCGCTTTCGGCGTTACGGGTATCCACATCCCGTGATTCCCATTCGGTCTGTAGGCCACTTTTTGCCACTTTTCCTTCTGTTGCAGAGTTATTGCATCAACAAGTGAGTCATCGGAGTCCCGTTGTGCCGGTTCGCTATTCTTCTGCTGCGCTGTTCGCAGTGTCGAGTCTGTTTCTCGACCTTTTAACACGGCCCTTCCACCGTGACTTTTAGCGTGCGCACTTGCTCCTTGACCTTTCACTTGAACTTTTCCTACGGAAGGTGGCCTTTCATCTTTACTGGGTACAGCGATATTCTGTTCCATCCATTTTTGCCTTATCAGCTTCTCTTCTTCGTCCTCTGAACAATTCCAGAACTTTGGCTTTATCTCTCCGTAACAGTCGCAACCTGGTTCATTCGCTTTATCATTTTCTGCCAAGTATTTCCGGAATTTCGCATGTTGCTCATTTTCTTCTTGCGCAGTATCTTTCTGCGGTTTCTTCTGATTCAGCAGCGCCTGTTTAATCTTTGCGTTCCGTTGTGCGCGTCGTTGCGCTAGCACTTCTTCGCTGCAGTACGGTGACCTTTCGTTTTGCTGCACTTTTTGCAGTGTTGCGCTACCGTCACGACAATTTCCACTCACAGTACCGTTCTGCGGTGACCTTTTATCCACTTGAACGTTTCCACTCGCAGTGCCATTCTGCGGTGACCTTTGATTCTGTGGCGGTATCCTTATAACCGCTCCAATTTCTTTTTGCGATGACGGCATCCATATAGCCGTTTCTCTTTGCTGTGGCGGCATCCATCTAGCCGTTTCTTGCGGTTGCGACATCCCTATAGCCGGTCCACTTTGCTTTTTCGCTGACGGGATCCATATAGCCGTTGCAGTGGTCACATTCACTGCAGTACCATTCTGCAGTGGTGACCTTTCCCTTTTATCCGGTGGTTTAGGGTCGGGTCGATCAGTAGGCTCACCGGTGCCTACTGATCTTGCCCGTTTCCGTGAACCGGCGCTCCGCCTTGTTGCGCGCCCTGCACATTTGCTTGTTGTTGTCCAATATCGTTTGCCGGGTTAGGATTCTGTCCGCCGCCGTTATTATATTGGCCACCACCCTGTTGGTAGTTTCCTTGGCCGCCACCATTGTTCTGGCCTCCTCTGAAGTTTCCGCGGCCGAAGCCTCTGCCCCTTCCTCTGAAGCCGCCGCGGCCGAAGCCACCACGGCCGTAGCCACCGTTATTCTGGCCACCACCATTTCCATTTCCATAGTTACCGTTTCCATTTCCTTGCTGATTCTGGAAGTTCGCTTTCGCCTGATACCATTGTGTGATTAAGTCATATCCATTAGCCACCGCTTGCTGCCATCCGCCCGTTGCGCGAAGCCGTTGCCACTCTCTGAAGGCAAACAGATTCGGGTTCTGTTCCGGTGGTGTGTTGGCGAACTTGCATCCTTGTGTCTGATGATTGCCGTACATACAGTATTGGCACATCTGCACATTGTTCGCCACCCATCCGTCGATCATCTGGAACTTGAATTCTGTTCGTGACCCTTGATTCCGCTGATAGTTCTGGTTTCCTCTGTTTTGCTGGAAGTATCCTTGACCTTGACCTTGATTTTGGAAGTTTCCTTGACCTCCGTTCCAGTTTCCATTTCCGTATCCGTTTCCACCGAAGTTTCCGTTACCCCCTCCTTGTTGTGGCAACACGACATTCGTAGGGGCCGTATTCTGTGGTGCCAGTGGGGTTACATTCTGAGGTGCCGGTCTCACTTGAGCTGCCGCTTGTATCGCCGCTACCTTTGCTTACGTTATCGGTTGCCCCGTCTGACTGTCGATAAAGGTCACCTTTTCCGTGACTTATCTAACCGGAGTCTCCATGCGGTATTCAACTGGTTGCTGGAGTGGTGCAGCTGCCATTCTCTGTTGCGGCACATTTTCGACTTGGCCTTGGCGGATGGTCACGTATTCCTGATTACGTTGACCTTTAGGCGCCTTATATTTCTCTTCACCAGTGGCCCAATGTCTGAAGAAATCTTTCACGTCCGTTGGCGTTTTGCACTTCTGTATACGCAGTGCCTTGTAGAGTTCGTTGTCCACTCTACATCCTTCAATTAGGAAGCCGACTGCTTGCTTCTCGGTGATGATTCTTTTCGCTTTAAAGCGCATCATCGCCTGATAATACTGGTCAAGCGATTCCTTCCCGAGTTCAAATTTCCTCGCGTAGGCCTCACGTAAGCCTAAGACTTCTTCGTCTCTATCGCCATATTCGTCTTTGAATTTGTCCATCCATTCAGTTATTGAGTATTCAATTCCATCTTCTGCTGCGATGTCCTTTTCTCCTTCAAACCAGGTTTTTGCAGGACCTTTCACTGCACTGGCTATCTCGATCATAATTTGGTCGTCCGTGAGCTGGTAAGTCCTTTGGGTTTCCTTCACCAGTCGTGTCCAGCCACTCACAGTGTCACGACTACCGTCAAAGGTCATGAGGGGCGTTTTCCGAGCCATCGAATTGAGTGCTTTAGTCAATTGCACCGCTGTGTTTTCTGCTCTCTGGTCATCGTCTTCGTCGCTACTTTCATCATCGTTTTGGCTTCGTCTCGCTTTTCCATAACGGGATTTCCTTGGACGCTCCTGCCGGCTGGAGGGTCTGTCCCGTCGCCCTTCATCGATGAACACGTTTGTTTCAAAGTGCGGGGGAAATTGTGAAGGGTCACCTCGACTCATATGAGGGTTACTTTCCGAAGGTGGCTCTTTGTCGTTTTTGTCATTTTCACCATCTCTTTCATTTTTAACACTTCCTTTACCGGTGCCAGTTCGTGGCGGCATGTCGAAGTGGAAACTTTTGCCCGTGCCCGTTTCATGCGCCTTGCTGTAACTGGGCGGGGGTGATTCCACCGTGGCTGTTCTAACTCCATATTGCAACAGCTGCTCATCTTTGTGTTTGTTTGAGATGTTGAGCGCCTTATTTTCATCCTCGAGGCGACGGACTTTCAATTGGAATTCCTCTTTTCTGTTTTCAAATTCTGATTTTCCTCCTTGACCTTTAGCATGTGCTGGTGGAGTTGGAACGTTTTCTCCTGGATGACCTTTTCAGTGTCATTTTCGACTTTCCTGATGTGTTCCGCCAACTGGGTCACGTCTCTTTCCAGTTTCGAATACTCATCGGCTGCCGCTTTCAGCTGGGTTTTTGTCTGATTGACCTCGTCTTCTCTTGTCATTGCCGTTTGGGTCATGTCGATCAACTCCGTGTTGAGTTTGATGATCTCCTGTGTCTTCTGATGGACTGTCCGTTGCCACTCTTTATCTTTCAGTTCAAGTACCGTGACTTTTTCGTCCAAGAGGTGTGCCTCGTGCTCCCACCTCGCGCCTTGTTCTGCAATTGTCTTGGCGGCTTCTTTTAACTCTTTAATCTCATCGGTGACCTTTTTGTTGTCATCCTTCAACGCCTTGTTCTCTTGCATCACCTGTCTTATTTCATTAATCAACCGTACTCCTTCGGTGGCTGTAAGATCTCGCAAGTCCTTTGCCACCTTAGCGGCTTCATCAGCCCTCCTCTGGTGATCGTATGACTCCCTCTGAAGGGTCCCGATATTCTCGTCACGGAGCTTCAGGTCATTCCTGAGCTTGAAGATTTCAGTGGTGTTCGTCAACAACCGCTGAGTAGCGTCGGCGAGTTTGGTTGCGTATTCATCTCTTTTCGTTTCAGCTTCGGTGACCTTTAGTTTCAGTGAGTCGCATTCGTCCTTCAATTCCGCTAAGTGCCGTGACCTTTTGGCTGATTCTTCTGACATGCTCTCGTTGAGGTCACTGACTGCAAGATGACCTTCCATTTCTCTGTCATCCACCATCTTCAAATATTCTTCCGCGAGTTCTCGTTGGCGTTCGTATTTGATTTTCCATTCGTCCGCTGCGCTCTCTAAGTCAACCTGTTGTTGTTCCAATACGTATATTCGGGCTTCCAGCGGTGACAGTTTTTCCCGATTTTCTCTCGTTCGCTTCGTTGCCTGACTTTCCTTGGTCTCGAGTTCGTCTTCCAACTCTCTAACACGAGTTCTCAAAGTCGTTGTGGGGCTGTTCGGTGATGGTGGTCTAACATTGATGACCTTTCCTGTTTTTGTCCGTTCGATGAGGTGCTCCGGTATATCTTTGAATAGTATCGTCCCTTCAGCACGGTCGGCTTGTCTCATCGCGGATTGGAAGGACACATTCATCGTCGTTTCATCGTCCGTGAAGTATGATTCATTTGATTCGTCTGACACCATTGGAGTGGCCCAAAGGTCATCGTCTACAGTCTTGTCATTCAACAAAAGGTCATCCAATCCCATTTCAACCAGTTCCATTTTGGTGACCTTTGTCGCTTCAACTTCCATTTGAGTCAGGTTCGCATTTTTATCCTGCTCATGCATTCCGCTAGTGGTAGCATCCAGCTGTGATGCTCCAACTAGTTCCGCTGTTCTTCCTGTGGACTTATCCTCCCCGGTGACCTTTATCTGGTTCATCGGATTGCCTCCCGCCGCAGACGCAGGGGTTTCCTTTCCGTCACCGATGGAGCTCTCTTCGTTCTGTATTGCTCCGAGCGCCACTTGGTATGTGTTGTCACTGCCTTTGCTGTCTTTTCTTGCAAAGGTCACAGCCGCTCGGGTCTGTCTGTCATGTCCGACTGGACGCGCGAGCGACTTATATTCCTTCTTATAAGGATCAACTGTGCCTTGTTGTGATCCTCGGGAGCTCCTGCTTCCCTGACTGCTGGTGGATGTCGGTTCTTCTTTGTCCATGTTGATCGGATAACTTGGACGCTCCTGTCAATTGTTCTCACACAAGCGTTATTGTATGGTTTGTTCAATTATCTTAAAGGTCACTTTTGTTTTGTGAAATTTTCTAAGTCCTTGCTAAAAGTCACTTTTCGGTTGAAAAATTTCAGCTAAGTTCCGTTTAAAGGTCACTTTTTCGGTAAAAAGTTCGAGCGATTTGCCCTAAAGGTCACTCTTCAGACAAAACTTCGAAACCATTCTTTCCGTTCAGAACACGTTTACAATTGAAGTCCTACAACTGCTGATATCGTTGTACTACTATTCACTTCAATTTCACTTCGATAAAGGTCACCGTTTGTCGCATTCAGATCATAAAGGTCACTTGAACAGGTCAATTTGTTCAATTCCAACTTTTTGGTAAAGGTCACTTTCCAAAACTCAAAGGTCAACTTCTGGTCTTAAAGGTCACTTTCCGTCTCAACTCAACTCAAAAGGTCACTTCTCAACTCGGTTTTAAGTTAAAAGGTCACTTTCCAGCTCAATTCGATCAAAGGTCACTTTTCCTTTGTTTCAAATCAAAAGGTCACTTCTTAGCTCAAATCAAGTTAAAAGGTCACTTTCCCGCTCACTTATCTCATTTCAAATCAAGTTTCCCATTACGACTCAAGTTCAACGGAAAATCCCCATTCGGGTTGTTTACTTCGTTCTGATTGGTCCGCTAGCTCAAAATATTCAGTTCAAATTTCGACCAATCACAGCTCAAATAACTGACCAATCACGTTACTCCCCTTAAAATTTATATCTGCCTGACGTCACGGTCAACGGCCAGACATGCGCGCCGTTTGCAAAACTCCGCCTACTTCTACGCTCAGCTCAGTACGGACCAATGAAAATTGCTAATTTTACCAGCTAGCCAATCCCGTAATTAATAACGGTTTTCTACCTGTTAACCGTCCGTTCCTCGGGGAAAACGATCCAGATGATCCAATTTCTTCTCCACTATCCGTTCCCGCGTCGCCGCTGTTCCGTAGCGTGCCTCGCGCTATTAGTAGGCTACTGTGCCGGCTGTGCCGTAGCAGCAGTAGTTTTGCGCTCTACACCAGTTTGGTGGAGTCTGATCTGTCTTTTCCCGTGCGCCCCTTTCGGCGCTTCGGCGCTTCTGCCCCACGGCTTAGGATTCGCTGAATCCTTGCCGAGTACCAATGACACCAGTGTAGGTCTTCGCTGAAGACTCTACACCGAGGAACACTGGCGACTGAACTCTTGCACTCTTGCACAGCTGAGGAAACAGCACAGGTCTTCGCTGAAGACTCTGTACTGAAAACCAAAGCTGGAAATCCACGTCAGATGAGGGACTTGCACCGCTTGTGGTGTTGCACTTTGCTTTTCGACAGACCTGTGCCTTACTGGTCGGATAACACATCAAATAACAGGCCAACTTTGCCTGACACAATTCAAATCAAATCCAGATCAAATCACTTCAAATCAGAGAACCGCTATTGGCTCTGCTACCATCTAATGCTAGATCCAGAATGGATCCAGAGACGGAGACAGAAACGGAATCTATCCCGTGGAAGTGAGCAATACGATCTGGATTGCGAACTATTGCGAAATCACAAAACGTCGCACCGTAAACTGCTGACTTTTTAATATTGAAAAGTCTGGAGAACAGAAAATCAATACTGATCGGCGCAGCTCGATCGTAAAGCGTGGAGCCCATTCAACAGTGTGTAACACTGTGCAGCACGTGCTATGTCGCGCCCACTAACAAAACATCAGCCAATCAGAAGCGAGACACAACACAGACACGTAATCCAGTGGCGTAGCGTTGCGGACGTGAACGCTAGTGAACCCCGCTCACATTACTGTACATATGTACTGCTTAATATTTTAGTTCCTTTATACACGCTTTGCATCACTGGTTTCTCAATCAATGATTTTATTGCTCACTACTCTAAAACATAGAAGTAGGGCACCGCGACATTTCGCCGCGGACAACTTGTCGCAGGACTTTTGGTCGCAGACATTTCACCGCAAGGCCATCTCGCCGCGGGACGCTTCGTCGCAGGATATCTCGTCGGTAGGACTTTAAGCCGCGAGACTTTCCTTCGCATGGCCGTTTCGACGCAAGGAAATCAGGCCGCATGGACATCTCGACGAACCAACATTTCGCCTGTCAGATAAATGATTTACAAATCTAATTAAACGAGTCACAAAAGGTAAAACAAACTAACAAAACCAAACGAAGAATTTGGGAAACCTAGAATAACCTAAGAATAATCTAAGAAACACAAGCAATCTTAAAAACCTTAGGACCCTAAGAAACCTAAAAAACCTAAGAAACCTAAGAAACCTAAGAAACCTAAGAAACCTAAGAAAACCTAGGAAACCTAAGAAGTCACCGAAACTTAAGAAATCTAAGAAAGCATAAGAAGACCTAAGAAAGTCTAAAAAAACATAAGAAAAGCTAACAACAGGCCAAAAAAACTGAGTAACCATTGCCCAACTCGTAACTATGTTTGGCCGACAAGTGATTGCTATATTTCCAAAGAGAATATTTAGCTCCCTGGACGCCATGATACTGTAATAAAGAATTTTATACAGCGCAGTAAAACTGCAATTGTCGACAATGGCGCAGAGTAAAGAGGAGCGACATCCGAGAGACGATTCCTTTCGAATCGTTCTTATTTGATCTCAGTGCGCCAATACACGATTGCTTTGCGTCTAGGGATGTTGACAGAAACTGAGAGGCAAATGTTTTCAAATAGCCCCTTATCAACACGAATGAGTGGACAAACTCTCTTCGCATTATCGAAGCGCTAACTTCAAGCGCGATGCTTGTCAGTTATTTCCCAAGTGGAAAATGACGGAACAATACAGGAGCTGCGCATGACAGAGTAACAGACAGAGCTGATTTTTTCCTGCCAAAAGCCAAATCCATGATCGCCAGTACTTTGCATTAGAAAAGACATCAAAATAACAGTAACCAAGCATACAAACCTACGGGCGCTTTTATGCATTTATTTGCCTGAAACTTTTTAGGATCAACTTTAATTGTGGCAGACAGAGATTTTGCTGACCAATATCTTGCAGACCGACACTTTGCTGACAACCTTTTGCTTGAATGGCAAAATGCATAACCGACAACTTGTTGAATACTTGGTACTCGTATCTCGACTGAACTCCGACCATTTTTAGCCATGCAGTTCCAGCATCGGGAAAAGTGGCGAAAGAAAAAACGTTTTGAAAGAAATAAGCGAAATTCGGAATTACAGTACCTCTAGCTTTGGTAAGCGCCACTTAAAGTTTGCCCAGTAAATTCTAAACGTAAAATGTCCCAGGTTCGATACAATCTACGGGTACAATCCCGTCGTTTGGTCGAGTGTCGTTCTCATGGTCATAGCCGTGAATGGCGATAACAGCGGTATGACGACACCGGAAGCGAGAAGGCACTCTCACAATCGCCATGAATTATTAGCTTAAAAAGAATATGGAAGGCATATGCCTTCCGTATGATTACATGCATGTAATCAGAGGATTGTTGCCGCATGGCCGACACCGCACCGAGGATACGCTCCAGCCGTTGATGGAGTAATAATCATGAAGAATTTAATGTCTGGCATTGGCTGCATGCGATATGCGACGCCCGTTTTAGCGCACCCGGACAATTGGGAGTGTGACATTTCGCCGCACTCAAACTCGACGCGCGCCGCGAAGACATTTCGCCGCAGGACATTCCGTTGCTGGGACACTTCGGTTTGGGACATTATGCTTTGAGACATTTTACCTTTGCGACATTTCGACGCAAGACGTCTCGCGGACAATTCGTCTTCGGACTTTTCGACAATGCGACCAATCTCCGCAAAATAATTCTCCTCGCTTAGTTCTCACTAGTTTATCACGCGGCGTTATGCGAAACTTTGTTCGATCGCGCATCAGATTGTTTCCTTCCATCCCTCTGTGTACAATTTGTCGGAAATGTTTACTTTTCGGGTGAAGGCCTGACCTCGTTAGATAACCAACGCCCACCCAAACCAAGGCGTTTCTTCTCTTGAATAATGAGATGCTGTCGTATGTATGACATGTGTGTATGATAGTGTGTCTCTGTTCAAGGAGCGATATGCACCATCCCTCACGGTGCGTTGTTCATACTTGGAAACGAAATGACCAGCACATAGGGACGAAATGTTGGACCCTCAAATTGCTGCGCCAGTGTTCTGTATTCAATAACCGGCAAACGAGTGCGGACGATGATAGGATATCATAAGACGGTGACGATGATAGGATATCAAAAGACGATGATAGGATATCATAGTCTTGTAATGCTTGCTGCGTCAATGTTTTGAATTCTGTATTCAATAGCCGGCAAAACGAGTGCTGACGATGATAGGATATAATGAGACGATGACGATGATAGGATATCATAGTGCTGACGATGATAGCATATCAAGAGACTCGTATTGATATACGAGGCTTTTGCCATAGTATATGAGAAATTCCGCATTTATATTCCAGCAATGAATTTCCACGGGACTTTCAGCTTGCCTGAGCATACCCTTTGCATCGATCGATCGAGCAACACAAGCACATTTCTCACTGCAACAGCTGAGTTTAAAGGAATACGAGTAAGTGTTCTACCGTGAAAATGACGTGTGAGCGGCTGGAGATTCTGCCACGCCACCACGCCCTTTTCCTCCTGAAAAATTGTCTAGGCGCCCCGAAAAAATTTATATGCTGCGCTGTTGCAA